TGTAAAAAAAAAATGTTGCATGCTGAATACACACAGAATGTGGTTTCTTTTGTTGATAGCCCAGCAATAAGATGGTACCAGGTGAGGTAAAATTAACCGGTGCTGTAAGTACAGCAAAAAGAAAACAATATTGGTGATACACTTCCTTGTTAGCTTTCAGCGATGATGGCTTCTGAATTAAAATCGCTGTGCAGTCAATAACAACTTTAAGATCAGGAAGCGTTGAAAATTGCTCCGCCTTGCCAAGATCATCACAGTTGTCTGGCATTCGGCACAGTTCATTGAGGTGAAAGTACAAAATATTAATCCAAGTTGTAAAGATCCTGCTTACAATTGATTCACACAGATGATCTCCGAGGGCTAAGTCTACCAAAGGAAGTCCACAACGCAGACGAATTAGGACCATAAAAAATTCTTCCTCTTGCGTGAGTTTAGCCTAAGGATCTCTTTTTACAGGAAAGGGTAATTTCGATTCCATTTCAGAACTTCGCCAGTTTTTCTTTGTTTGGAGAGCCACAGAGCCAAGTAGTCGAAAAGGACTTTGATAGTAGCATAGTTGGGCAGCCCAGTGAAACATTGGAACCTCTTGCCGTCGTCTTTTATACTCTTTAAAGTCAGACATCTGGTTCTAAGTTCATTGTTTTCTTCCTCCAGAGAGGTCACTTTTTGATACAAGGCAGACATTTCATCTACAATTAACTTGTCCACCGTTAACGACTACGAATCGACTTGACCTCTACGGTAGTCGTGAGCTTTCAAGCTATGATGANAGAGAGGTCACTTTTTGATACAAGGCAGACATTTCATCTACAATTAACTTGTCCACCGTTAACGACTACGAATCGACTTGACCTCTACGGTAGTCGTGAGCTTTCAAGCTATGATGAGAAGGTAAACATGACCCCAAATCTTATGATCTTCTACTGTTGGTTGTGATTGTTTTGGTCTTCCTCTGACTTCACTGTCGTAAAACAGGAATAAAAATATTACTTCTGTGTAAAACTACGTGTAGGCTAACTTTAAAAGCACTGTAAGAGCTTTTCTGTGTGTAATCAATCAGTCAATCAATCAAAGTAAAATTATCATAAATATTAAAAAGTAATTGGAGTAATTAGATCGATATTTTACTCACCTGTGTTACATGTTGCTTCCTTTGGTTGGATTTGGAGATAATTATTCCTGGACTATCGCTCTTCAAACTGTTTCTACTCCTTCGTGGAGTCTTGGAAACACTGTGCGCATGGCTGGCTGTGACTAAATATCGATGGAACATATCCTTCGGCTTTTGGATCGTCTGA